TGCCACGCACCCCAAAGAAGCATGATTCTATTTTCGTGGTTGTCGATCGTTTCTCGAAAATGGCTCACTTTATCCCCTGTAGCAAAACATCGGATGCGTCCAAGGTTGTCATGTTATTCTTTAATGAGATTGTCAAACTGTATGGGCTTCCCAAGACCATCGTGTCCGATAGGGACGTTCACTTCACTAGCCATTTTTGGAGGACTTTGTGGCATAAGATGGGTACCAAATTAAAATTTTCTACAGCCTACCACCCTCAAACTGACGGTCAGACCGAAGTTGTTAATCGGAGTCTTGGTAACTTATTACGTTGCCTGGTCCGGGAGAACCTTTGAAATTGGGATTTAATCCTTCCTGTCGCTCAAATCGCGTATAATAGCTCCGTAAATCGTTCATTAGGTATGAGTCCATTTGAAGCCGTTCACGGATACAAGCCTAGGAAACCATTAGATCTCATCCCTATGTCCCTACGGGCTAGAGTGTCAGTATCAGCCGAAGCATTTGCACAACACCTTCGTGATTTGCACATTGAGATCAATAAACAACTTGAAACTAGTAATGCAAATTATAAACTACAAGCTGATTTACATAAACGACATATTGAGTTTAATGTTGGGGATTACGTTATGGTTCGCATTAGGCCAGAGCGGCGTCTACATGGACCCGCCTCCAAATTGCAAGCTCGTAATGCTGGTCCTTTTAAAATTTTAAAGCAAGTTGGTCAAAATGCATATATTGTCGACATTCCATCCCACATTGGTTACTATCATACTTTCAATGTTGAAGACCTTGTAGCTTATAAAGGTCATTTCATTCCCTCAGATGATCCCCTATTACCTCCTTTTGTGGACCTTGATCCTAATTCTTTGGCCCCCTCTAACCCACTATCACCTCTCACAGCACACACAGATAAAATTGATGCTATTTTAGATGAAGAAACTGTGTTCACTAATGATGGAGAGGTTCAGCGCTTCCTTGTTCGTTGAGTTGGTCGACCAGATTCTGATTGTGCATGGATCTCCAGGGAGACTCTACAGCATTTGGATCCAGATTTGCTAGAGCTTTATCGGAGTCAGCAGGATCTTCCTTGGCCCAGATCGCCTCCCGTCCACCCGAGGAGAGTTGATGAGGACACCAGGTTCAGACCGCCACTGACGCATTTCTACAGACGCCGGAAGAAACTTGCCCAACCACTCAGCTTATGGTTGGGAGATTGAAGAGAGTCTATGGTGATATATCCACTCGACAGGGTCGAGTTTTCTCCCACCCCGGGAAAGTTGATGAGGACATCATTATAGTTGGACTTTTATTATTGTTTCAGTTGGACTTTTATTTAAGTTTACGTATTTTAGTTAGGACTTAAGTAATGGGTTTGGCCCTATATTTCTAGGTTTTTATTATTTAAACCTATCTTGGTTTGTAATTTTGGGACGATGAATTTGATTAAATAAAGAGTTGGCTGTAGCCGTTTTCCTCCTTCTTCCCTCTCTTCCCCGCCTCTGTTCTTCTGTTTCTCCTTTCTTCCCCCATCTCTCTTCTTGTTAACTTTATTGAATCAGTTATTCTACATCATTTTCAATTGTCATAAAAAATATTGGCTTCAATTCGAAGAATAATATGTAACTAACACGCGATCAACAACATGCACTGCATAATGTCATTAACAACTATTTTCAAAATCTCGGGACATATACTTGTTTTTCAACTTTCAGATGCATATCTTCCCGTATAATGCCCTTCCTCGACCGTCTCTTGATATGTAGCTAAAGCCTTGCCTCATTTGAACTTGACTTTTCTTGTAATTCTTGACAAGAATCGAGCATTCAAAGTTCTGATGATCGATTAGCATACTCCTGAACCAATGCCCCAAAGAGTGAATGCCTTTCAAGCAAACGAGATGGCTTGTCGAATTCTTTTGCCCTTCCTGTTGGGTAGACAAGGAAAAGAATCATAAGCAAGATATTCAAGATAATAAGCATGAACGAGTTTCATAACTTGAATCTACCAAGAAAATAGATAAGATGCTTCTCTTCTCAAGCTAATGCATACAAGCAAGTGTTTAGAGCACGGTGATGAATTAGATTGGACGGTTCAATGTACGAGATTTTAGCTTATTTTTCTTTTTCTTCTTTAATATTGCAAATGACTGTCTACCAAACATGCCATATAGCTTAATGTGTGTGTAGTGAGCATTTCAAAGAAATAGCATTGAATTAGAATACAAGCCAAGACGATGGTGTACACACCTGCATCTATGACCAAAACTCTATCGCAGTCCATGACAGTTGGTATTCTGTGAGCAATGCTTATAATTGTGCATGCTGTGAAGTCCTCCCGGATGATTTTCTGAATCATTCCATCTGTCTGTGAATCGACTGAAGCAGTTGCCTCATCCATAAACAAAAGTCGGCTTCGTTTCAGCATCACCCGTCCCAGGCATAGAAGTTGTCTCTGCCCGACACTCCAGTTGTCACCATTATCAACAACTAACAAAATGACATGTTAAGAACAAAGAATTTATTCTGCTTTCGATAGTACATTAAATTTGACAGCAATCAGTAGTTAAATTGTGTTGAACCGTCTTATCTAAGAGCTTAAGATCTTAGAGAGGGGACATTTATATATTTAAATTTAGTCTTTGACGCAATCATATATGCCAGCAATTTGGAAAATAATGTACCTGCAGAATCAAGTTTTCCAGGTTTTGCAGACACAACGTCCTTAAGTTGGCAACGCTCTAGACTCTGTAGAACAGTAGTTCACAAAATTGATAAAGCACTCAAAGGAAACTAAACGGAGAAAAATATTTTTATCGAATTTTTCGAAGACTATATTACACTAATTGTCACTAAAATCACCTTCCATATTTCTTCATCTGAATACTGCCCAATTGGGTCAATATTGCTTCTCACGGTTCCTTCAAAAAGAACAGGTTCTTGAGGGATGATCCCAAAGCGCGACCTCAGATCATGAAGTCCAAGTGCTGAAATGTCAATGCTGTCGATAATTATTTTTCCCGCTGATGGCTCCACCAATCTAAACAAAACCTGGATTAGAGTGGATTTTCCACCCCCAGTACGACCAACAACACCGATTTTTTCACCTCCCCTTATGCTGAAAGTAAGTCCTTTAAGAACTAAAGGTGTATCTGGACGGTACCTAACCTGTACAACATAGATTCCACATAACTTCCAAAATTACTAGATAAAAGGAAAGATGATGATTATTTATCTCATGGAAGCGTGACAATTCTGCCAAATGTTATGGTTTAGTCATATTCCTATTTAAAAGATCAATTAAAAAAAAAAAAGTAAATCTCACAAAAATTTACATCGGTTCACCCTCACTGTGAGAGCTACGTCTACTGGCCACTACAGATTTTCACTATGAAGAAGAAAATACATTAGTATACTCCTCTCAGTCTGTCTCACTATAGACGCCCCTTATAAAACATTTGACATATCATAGGAATATTAGGATGATGCAATGTAAATATGGTATAGGAATATTAGGATGATGCAATGTAAATATGGTATACTCAATGGTTAGTCTCCAAACATACCAACATCAAAACACGATGATAAGGCATGCATTAGGTCATTACCGAAAGCATATTTGTTTCGTGCCTCTTCGATTACATTCATTGCTCCAAATCCGTGACAAAAATGTAACACTATCTCTCAGAAAACATGTAAATTTAAAGGACGGCATCTGATTGAAATTACTCTATATGGCATGTTACCTGCAGGTCTTTGAGCTCAACATTGCCATGGGTAGGCCAATTCAACGGAGGGAGGAATTCTTTTTTATTCCATTCCGCTTCAGAGGGTATTACAGTGAACTGTTTTATCCTCTCGACTGAAACCATCTTATTTTCCAGAAAGCAACTGATATATATCGCAAAATATAGCACAGAGTTGAGGGACAACCCATAAGAGAGAGATAAGCCGACATTCTCTGGAAAATTAAGCAAGCTAAGTCCCTTGAGAGTAAATCCAAACATCTCAAAATAAGATAGGAGAGATGAAGGAAAAATATATTTGACGTATGAAAATTAAAATAAAGAGCAATCTATGCCATCTAACTAATAATGTTTAATGACAACGATACAAAATGGACATGATCAAAATCGTGTACTTTATATGTTTCAACTTATAGTCCACTAATTAGCAGTGTCATGCTAACATAAATCAATAAAGGAGCATATGGGAAAAAGTGAATCCAAATATATAAAACTGTGACATCATTAATTTCTTTGTCATGCATCCAGTAATCAGAAAGATAAATGCTCTAATCTTAAATCTTTCAAAATTTTGGCAACTGAACTTGATCATTGGAAATATATTATTTTCAACAATACTTATTCCATAAGTTATTCCACGAATACATATCCCCATATTCACACCTGGCTTGATGATATTGCTAGGTAGAATGATCATAAACAACGCAGATATGCAGAGGACGAAACTTCCAATCAGTTCCAAGCGAAAGCCCAACCACTCATTGGCCCCGTTATTGTGGAAGTCCATACGCACATTTGCATTTACACGGTTGATATTCTCCTGAGAAAACCTTTCCTGCTTTCTGAAACAACGAATAGTCATGACACCAGTAATGGATTCAGAGAAATGGTGAATCACGGGTGCTTTTGTGATAGAATCCAGCCGTGTCAATTCTCGAGATGTGGAAAGATAGTATCCCTGCAAACCACAAGAAAAGGAAAGTGTTGGTTAAGACTGCAGTAGTTTCAGTTTTGATAAACACGGACATGCATTCAGTTAAATACGCCTTTAGTAAACAAATCTCAGTACAAGAAAAGACCCATACCCGGCACCAGATATTCAGCCAGCCAAGTGGAATCAAAAAGATCACAGTAGGCCAAGTGTATTGACACGTGATAATGATTATGCTAATAAGTGTGACGTACATGGCAATAGTCACACTCATAAAGAATGGAATGAAAATATCAACGTTAGTTTGATCGGTTGATGCCTGCACCAGTAGAATGAAAATTACAAGAAAAAAAATTCTGTTAATTAAATTTACAAATAACTGTGTAATTTCTAAATCCTTGTATGAAAATTTTACCCGACTAAGAATCCTTCCAGAAGGTGTAGTATCAAAGAATGACATAGGCGCGTGAAGGATGCTGTGAAGCATTTGTCCGAAGAAAATTTGTGATGTCTTAAGTCCCATAACTGTAGCTAAGATGATTCGTAGAAGAATCAGTACACAGGAAACTGCTGCAATGATAGCATATATCTCGATGAAAAAAGAAGGGTTGAATGATGCAGCACGTTTTGACGAAGTTTCATATGCCAACCAGTAATCACTTGCCATTAAAGTTCCTTGCCATGCCAGGGAAAAGAACAACACTGCCACTACACCCAACCATCCGAAGGACTCGGTGCAATATAATTTGTAAACACTTAAGCTAACTCTCCCGGTTTCCCTCTCCTCTTCCTTGATAAGCTTAGAACTCCCTTGATTAGGGTCACTTTGGTCTTCAGATTTACTTTCACCATTTTCTTCCCTTAGTTTAAAAGATTTTTGAGTAGATATAGTGGGGGAACTATTCTCTGTAGCGTTTTCGACGTCTACAAGCTCCATAGATGTTTCGTGGGCAGTTACTAAAGCTTTGAAATCCAAGCCAGATTCTAATAGATCATTGTATTTTCCTGATTGCACAATCATCCCATCTCTCATAACCTGGTATTCATAGGACAAAATGTCGTTACGGCTTCAAATAACAAACACACGCACACAAACTCATTTGCATATAAACTAGAGGGAACATTCAAATTTTGGGGAGGAAAAAGTTTTTACTCACTAATATCTGATCAACATTATGCAGGAAGTCCACTTGATGTGTAACGAGTATAATGGTCTTATCTTTAACGATGCCTCTCACACATTCCTGCAAAAGAGCATGGGCGGTATAAGACCTATATTACAACACAAACCAGATTCAGGAATCAATTCAAATAATGACTTAAACTACATCATCATGTGTACGATGGAAGACGAGAGAGATGTAGTTGATAATGAAACAGTTTTTTTTTTTTTATTCAATTGCATCTGTAGCAAATTTTGGCAGAAGTACATCCAAGATGCTACGGAGAATTGCAAATAAGGCCTATTTAACCATGTAATGATGCAATTTTCGAAGAAAGTATCTAACATAAGAATGCATTAGAAATGTGATCTATAGATATACTAATTGTTTCCATGTAATTTAACCAAGATTCTGTATGTGTGTGCTTAAATTTCCAATCAGTTGAAAATATTTTGAAGTAAAAATCTTCAAAATCTTAGAGTCTGTTTGGGAGTAATTTTGAGAATTGATTTTTTGACTGTTAGGAGAAAAGTGGGGTCCACCTGTGAGAAAAGAAATCAAATATGACAGCTGTAATAATGAAATAACGGTCAAAAAAATCAACGGGGGAAAAAATCACTCCCAAACAAACTTTTAGTAAAACTCACATCACCTTAAATATGTCTGAACCAGTGTGAGCATCAACTGCACTAAATACATCGTCAAGTAGATAAATATCACAATCCTGATAAACTGCTCTGGCCAGTTGAATCCTCTGCTTTTGTCCACCACTTAGATTGATACCACGCTCTCCAATTTCAGTCTGATCCCCAAATTCCATCATTTCCAAGTCCTTCTCTAAGCAACAAACCCTGATAACTTCCATGTATCTTTCCCTGCTCATTGGCAAGCCAAAGAGGATATTTTCTTGTATTGTCCCGTTCTGGATCCATGATGTTTGGGCAACATAAGCAGTGCTACCACATACTCTAAGCTGTAATGTACCAAAAAAAGTTCTCAATATGCAAGAGTCAATCACATTATCATCTACAGAAAAAACCTCATTAAATTGATGAATAGCAAGAACAAAAGTGGTGAACAACAGCACAATAATCTGGCCAGGGATGGACTAATCATTGAAACATATTCTTAGTAATTGGTAGCATGCAAAAGAGCCTTCACGGATAAAGCTGTATATGAAGGAGAGAGAACATTGATGGAAGATTAAACATTATAGACAAATGACGGATTTCTGGCTATCAAATAAACAAGAATCCAAATTTTTGAGTATCAGATTTGAAAGGGCATACCTTCCCAGATAATTTATTCATCTCACCGAGAATTGAAGCCAGAACAGAGGACTTCCCTGATCCTACTGTCCCAACTATTGCTGCAAGTTCCCCTTTTTTGATCTCAAAATTTAAATTCTTTACGACTTCTTCCCCATTCTCATCATCCCAGCTAAAAGATCCGTCTTCCACAGCCACAGCTATATCACCCTCGCAACCCTCGACTCTTTCGACTGATTTATCCACCAACTCCTGACTAGTCATATATCTATCCAGCCTTTGAAGAGAGATTATAGCTTGTGAAAGTGAGATCATGGATTGTGGGAACGTCCTTATAGGTTCCTGCAACATCTTTAAGAGTGAGGTTGTGGTGAAAACAGTCCCCACTGAAAGTGGAATCCCCAGCAAAATTGAACTTCCAAATGTCAATGTAGCAATAAACAATGGAGTGCTCCACAATACAATGATATTGGCAGACATAGAATACATAAACTTGCATAGCCATCCATATTCTGATTCACGGAACGATTGAATTCTTTTGTTGAAGTGTTCTTCCCATGCCTGGAATTTAATTACCCGCATGTAGCTAAGCATCTCATTTGTGGCTTTCATTCTCAAATCACGGTTCTTCATAATATTAAACTGGAACCCGTTGTTTCTTCGAGTACCAAACAGAACAAACAAGACTACTAAGGCAAGTCCGAATAGGGCAACAAATGTTGAAACACCAATGTACTGGTATAGAATAACAAGAGCCACTGTGATTTGCAATGGCATCAGCCATAAGAAATGTAGCTGCAGCATCATATCGGAAAGCTGCTGAGCATCCACTGCCATATAGTTCACAATTTGTCCGACTCCATGAGCCTGTCTTGCAGAGCATGTTAGCCTCAAACCCTTCTTGTACAAGGAAGTAATGAGTGTTGATCGAATCAGCATCCCAAGTTTTTGAGAATGAAAGTTGAAGTGGTGTGAGCTCAAAACTTCAACGAATTTGGATAGTAAGAGAATCAGTACAAGGTAGTATCCTTCATAAGGCGAACTCCCATTTCCTGCTGTGACATCAACAAATCGCTGGATGAGAGTAGGCCCAACATACATGACACAGAGCCTCAAGATCGCGAGTGAAGCAGTGAATGCAATTTGCTTCCAGAAGCATCGAACCAATGTTTTCACGACTGGATGCTTTGAGTTCTCTTCAGGTTTAGGCCAATTTTTTTCAAAAAGCAGTGACATTCGTTCGGCTCTGTGTTCTGGTGAAAGGGTAGGTACATCTTCAATTTTGAGAGGAGATTTGTAGCCTTTTTTCAGAAGGGGATTCATCCAGATCCAAAAGAGCTTAGATATGACAGGTGCTGAAGAGTATTCACTTACATTAGATTTGTCAAGAAGAGGTTCGTACAATTCGGTATTTGAATCTACTACTGGTTTAGTGTCATCCCTTAGTACTGAAATGCCTGTGGATCCTTTAATTCCAATCACGAGAAGAACAATCGACAGAGGAAACATGATTATCAAAACAATGTCGTCCAATCGCAGGCCTGAAGCAGTTTCTTGAAAAGAAATCAAGCGTACGAGCCCTGATGCGAAGAACAAGGCTAAAATGACAAACTCTACAATCCAGTATATTCGAAGAGTCCACGGATGGGTAACTGCTTTGAATCTCTTCTCATGGGCGACTAATACAGTGATCGCTACATGAGATATTGCTTGAAACAACCAAAACAGTCCATTTACGATCTTCCATTGCAATTCAGCACTTCTAATGAAGGCCAGAACGCATAAAACAATAGAAGAAACTGCTAAAAGAACTGTTACAATGAGACACAACTTAAACCAGAAATTACTCGTAACTAAACCTCCATTGTTGGCAATGAGAGGCTTATTGATTTCAGAACTAGAATGTGCATTCGAAGTGAATCTCGAATACAGCTTTTGAATTGCAAATACAAGCAAAATAAGCAAGAACAAAACATCCAATGAAGTTAAAAGTAGCCTTTGAGAACAAGGAGAAAGGAAAATGAATCTTAGCCATTGAAGAACGGATGAAATTGAGGCGTCCTCGATCGATCCGGAACAAGAAAGTGTTGTAATCCAAGAGGCTGAAGACATGTTGCTCAGAGTCTTCAAGTCAAATTCAAGAATTCCCATTTTCTGCTCTCTGGAATAAGAAAAACAGAAATCAGCACTAAAAATTATTACAAAACTGATAATTACAAGAGTTAATCCACTCAATAACTGAAATAATCATTAAATAAATAACCGAAGCGATAAAGATTCAAAGCACTGAACGTATTTCATTAATAGGCAGAATCAATTACGCAAGAAGTGACTAAAGAAATAAAAACTGAGGGGAGAGGTGGAATAAATGCTAATTAAAGCGAATAATACTGGAGAAGGGATGGAAAAGGGACAACTAGATATGCTAAAAATAGATTATTGAATCAAAAGGGCACCTGCTTCACTTTACTACAACTGAAACTTCAAATAAAAATCTCAGTTCTTAAGGAACTTTTACCCAAAAAAAAAAAAAAAAAAAAAGGCTTTATCAGATGAAAACATAAATAGGAGAAAGCAGGTTTTGATTGGAAATACAGAACTACAGGAAAAAGATAGGGGGAAAATGCATGGCTGCCAGAATTTTGATTCTGTGGGGCGAAAAAACTCACCTCCTGTTTCTGGGCTTCCAAAGAACACGAAAAACGTCGAGGAATAATTATGGACACGGATGAGGACAATATCTTTGTTTTTCAGCCATTCATTATTGAATTTTCAGTCTTTTATATTTGTTGGTTCTGCAGAAGGAGACGTGGAGAAGAGGATGATAAATAATTGCAGCAGCAGTTTGTTTTTCTGCTCAAATAAAGTTTTTAAGTGATATTGCCGACAGCCACGCAATAAGTAATTGTAAGTAAATAGGTTGGCATGACTGAGCAAATTTCAGCGGTTTAAAATAGACGAAAATATGCAGATGATCTTCGTCTGAAATCTGTCTTTGAATCTCATCTAGAGCTTGTTTGAAATTGATTTTGAAAATTGATTTTTTTTACCGTTAGGAAAAAAGAGGGGACCATTTGTGAGAGAAGAACTCAAATATGACGATTGAAATAGTGAAATAACGATTAAAAAATCAATTTTTTGGGCTAAAAATTTACTCCCAAACAGGCCTCTAAGCATTCTTGGGTAATCTTTGAAATTTAAAAAAAAAAATGAATTTATTTTTAAATATTTTTTTTAAAATAAAATTGGAGATATTACCTTTTTTTATTTTTTCTTATGTATAAGTAAAGATTGTAATTTATTTTAAAAATTATTCTTATCTTATTGAGATGAATGCCTAGTTCAAGTAAACAGAGCAAATTTTATAATAAGTAGTGTATGTGTTAAATTTTTCACCGAAGTACGCCATCCATCAAACGTGGGCAAGATGTAGTCATTGGTTACATTTCTTCTTCGCATGAAGCAAATCATTTCAACCTTGTTAGGGTCAAGTTTCGAGCATAATATAAACAGTAAAATTTAAATTAGAAGAAATTTGTTAGCCTTGAGCCGTCAAGCCTTACATATGGAAATTAAGGTCCTGTTTGAGCCATATTTATGGAAGAAAAAATACATTTTTAAAAGTGATTTGATATCATTTTAATCATATTCTTCAATAAAATAATATTACACGCAAATTCAAAACTTTTTATTATTTTTAACCACACATTTTTCATCAATTTACTATTTAAAAATAAATTTTTATGAAAGTAATGTGGCTCAAATTTGGGCTAAGTGTCTACGTCATTTCCTCAATTTCAAATTGGCCAAAGATCAAAGAATTAACGTACTTTGACCCAAAAAGATATGATAGAATGCTTGATATTCTCTCACATCCATGTAAATTAAAAAAGACCAAAAAAAAAAAAAAATCTTCCTCCATTATTAGGAGGCTATCAAGGAGAGTGTCAAACTCTCCCTAGCGGCCCAGCACGATTGAAGATCAAAATAGACTTTGAACCTATCGAACCCCGGTGGTTGCCTAATCTACCCAATGCCTCAAGTAGTCTCGACGTATCCCTCTCACCTCACCTCATCCTAACACACTCATAACCTCGGACATTTTCGATCAAAGAAGTCATACCCACATGACGATCATATCTGAGGCTATGTGCCTAAATACATTACATTCTCTATATGAGGCGAGCCTCATAATGGAACGATCATATGCACTCAAACAATTAGATGCACATGGCCCACTATCCTTCAATGGATCTTTGGTGAAGCAGAATACATGTCTTTCTAGCAATATAGGATGACTAGAAATACTTCGGTTTAAACAATTTGACAGCAACTATGTCTATCAATTTTATTTCCAATCGAAGTAAAGATCATCCTCCAAAACTATTTACCTTTATGCAAAAGATGCACATACTCGAAAAATACGTGACATGTCATCTACCCCTCTCACTCTATGATTATGAACAAATTAGCCATTTCCATTTTACAATATATGCAAACATCTCAAAAATACATGCAGGAATTTAAGTTGTTAAACCATCCCTTTTGCAATTTCTTTGCATTAAAAAAAGTCTCATGGTGCGTAGATAACTTACGCATGTAAAAAAAAGTGATTAAGATATTTTAATAGTTGGACCAAAGCAAACACAATCAAAGTGGAGAAATTGTATTAAAAAAAGACCAAAGAATGGTCAGCAAGATTTTTATATCAACACCTACTTTCAACTTATAACCAATTTTTTCGGCATGATCAAACACGCTTGTTCCACATAACGTGAAAATGTATATCATTGTTGGATGAAAATTCAACGGGTCGATGATTTTATTGTTCATATTTTTACTTATTTTTTGACTATTTTTTTTTTTTTAATGAATCTTGGATTTCCGTCCCGTATAAAAGGTATAGCACCCGTTTGGTTCTTATTCTTCAAGCCAAAAAATAATTTTTTGACCGTTTCTTAATATGGTCAGCCGTAATTTTTTACTTCTTCACTTGCAGATGGAACTCAATTTTCTCTCTAACAGTCAAAAAAGTGATTCTAAAAAACAATACCAAACAAGCCCTGTTATCATGGGATGAAAATTTACTATGTCAATGAGTTTAGTTCACATTTATTTTTTAATTATTTTCTTTTTTGACTCTATTTTTTAATGAATCTTGGATCATCATTGTCCCGTGTAATATAAAAACATAATATAATTACTGGGGGACAATCTATTGTTTCATATGTCAATGGGTTTACTTTACTTTTTAATCATTTTTTGACTATCTATGATTCTATTATTCTAATATCTTTAATTATTTTTTGACTAACTATTATTCTAATATCTTCGTATATTGGATTATAGAATCAGATTTAGTGTACAAGTGTTACGATTATGTCAATTTTGAAGATTAGGACGTGCAAGTGGAAGTTACACAAAATGTGAAGTGTATCTAGCATCGAATTAGATGGCTCCGAGTCTTGACGCGACTTGGGTGTCCATTTGGTTCGTCTAGAAGAAACATGGGGTTGTTCACTCGACTTGACTTCTTTCGAACTCTAATATCCCGTTAGACCCTCTTTAAAACTCTTCAATTTAGTTTAAATTTTTCTTTATCCTATTTTCAACCACACAATATTTAATAAAATAATATTACACACAAATCGAAAACTTTTGCATTCTTTTACGACCATCCATTTTTCAAAAAAAAAACATTATTTCTCCCATTATAAACTCAAATAATGGGAGGCCAAACACGGTCAATATTTGGTTTTCAGTTTTTCTTGTTCATCTATTGAAATTAAAAAGGAAAAAATTATTGAAAAATGTTGTAGAGTAATTGGACTCATGTCAACTTTTTAAACTGACTAATTTTATCAATTTTTTTTTATCGTTATTTCATTATTCAAACCGTCATTTTTTACTTCTTCTCTCTCCAACAATCAAAAAATCAATTCTCAAAATCACTACCGAACAAATCCTATATTAAATGTGAATTTAAGATGTACATAATAATTTAATTTATATTACAAATAAAAATGGATTTTAACTTTTTATCAGTCTAAATTAATAATATCAAGCATTCATAAAAGCATGCTTAACCAAGTTGAAAGAAGAATAAAAGTTACTTATAAGAAACCATTTAGTCATAAACCTTGCCTGAATATGTTATAAAAGCTACATTTTCTAACTCTTCTTTTTAACCAAATAAACTAAAAACTTTTTCCTCTTTTTCAACCACACATTAAAAAAAAAAAAAAATCTATTCCAAAAATTATAATATCGAATAATGGGGTCAAACGTTTTTATTCTACTTATTTTTAACCTAACCTACACCATTGTCATCCTTTTGATTTTTTATGAATAATTCCACCACATTAAGGTCATGTTAGGTGAAGATTAAAATTTTAATTTAATTTAAGCAAAGTCTGATTAATTTTAATCATACATTTCATGGTATCACAACTTTTCAACTCATTTAATCTATAATAATAATTAATCTAGAAGTACTACAATTCAATCATTTACGTATGTGCTTGTATGAGAACAATCAAATTCATTCATGAACATGAAATTTAATTAATTTGAATTAGTGAATATAAAAAAAGAATATTTTATATACATCTAATCTAGATAAAAGGTATGTACATGAACCAACGTGAAATTTAAATGAATATAGAAAAAGAATAATTTATATACATTTAGAAAAAGGATGCATATGTGAACCAACATGGAATTTAATTAATTTGAATTAATAGATATAAAAAATAGTAATTTATATACATTTAGACAAAGAGTGTTATATCATAGATTAAATGAATAATATCGAAAATTAAAAAGTGTACATGAACTTGAATAATCTATTTACTTCCATAATAATTGATTAGCCCGCAAAATATATAAAGTGTACATGAACTTGAAGACTTGATGTGATATTTAATATATATATATAAATAAATGTTAATTACAATACATGCACATACTTAAATGATTGAATTGTAGTACTTCTATATTAATTATATAGCCTCAAAACATATAAAGTGTACATGAACTTGAAGAATTAATTGATTGAATTATATTAGGGTATATATAAATAAATGTTAATTAGTATACATGCACGTAAATAAATAATTGAATTGTATAAAAAGTTCATTTTTATGTAAACAATTTTTAACTATTTTTTATATTAATTTATCATCAAATATTATTTTTACAGCACTTATAACGTATTTCAGAATTACGTGCAACATACGTTCACCTGTTTTTATAAAAATCTATTAAAAATTAAATATTAATCCCCACTTTTTATGGTTGTTAGCTTACCTTACGAAACCGTTCAAATATACTTTTTGTTTCAATTTTTTTTTTTTTTTTTTTCACCTACTCTATTTATGTAAATGCACCCTAAATTTCCTCACGTCATGCATGAGAGCACTATTTTCTAGAAGAGGTGGGACCGATCAGCTTCCGTGATTGACTCGGTCATATGACTAACTTGCGTTTCTCGAGGAGACTAGTGTCGTTTAGGTGGAGCCCCTGACGCTGAATACGTCCTTTTGAAATTGAATACTTAAATTTTTGTTGAATTTTGAAAGAACAAATCTTCTTGTAATGCCGCTTTTGAAAGTATATTGTGGCGTTGCCGCTTTTGGATCGCAAATTTGTCGTTTATTTTATCCCTCTCTATTTTTAATGATTGAAAAGTAATAATTGGTATTTTGACTTTCTCAATTTTCTCATGACTCGTGTACTTAAAAAGTTAAAATTGGTCTTATTGGTACCAATCTACTATCTGCGTGTTCATATAAACGTCAAATGCTGCACAGCAGCACCCTCATGAGGTGATCGAGTTGATGAGCACAAAGTGATCGCTAGTTCGATTCCCTCTATCAATATTT